CTCCTCCTCCTCCTCCTCCTCCTCCCTTTCATCCCTCTCCTGCTCCCCTCCCTCCTCCACCTCGGGCGGTCCGTCGCAACGCGGGCAGTCCTTCGCCAGGTCGTACAGGTCCTCCGCATAATGGATCCTCCGCCGTTTGACTATCTGCAGCACCTGCCGCCGGCTGAACGGCGCGCCCGTCGGGAGAGGACAGGACAGGACATCCGCATAAGGAGGTAACGTCTGAGCACCTACTCGGGCGATCTACGCGCTATTGCCAAAATCCCCTGCGATCTGTTGCGCTACAGCCGAGCTCCGAGGTGGCCCCGTAAGAGAGGCTCGCTACGTTACATCACGAGTTCCGCCGGGTCAGCGCGGGGGGGGGCAGCTGCCGGCCCTTCCGCGTGCCCTAGGGGAGGGGACGCGCGGGCTCAGCAGGGCGCCCAAGCCATGGGGGGAGGAGACGACGACACGACCTCAAAAGGAGGAGAGGGAGGAGAGACGGAAGGCCCGAGACCCCAAACTGTTGCTGGGGGGGCTCCTACCTCTACAGTTTGAACTCCGTGCTCCCCTCTCCCGCTCAGCTCACTTCTCGGTCGTTCCGAGAGATGCTCCATGTGTTGTCACATCTGTACTCTGGTACCCTGTGAGGTAGCCCAAGGTTCCCCCTCTGAGCGTGTGAGGTAGAGCGCGCTGGAAGTCACGATCATAGGTGGGGCCAATGAGGAGCACACAGGTGGGCATCTCGATGATCGCTTTTTCGCCCTCCGCACCCTGCAGCTGCGTACCTGATGGTATTCCAAAAAATACTTCCACTTGCGATGGCGGCGCAGGCGCACTGCTGCGCCCATTGTGTCTGGCGTGAGTTGCGCTTCGAAAAACCTCTCGAATACTCCTCCTGACTGTCTGTGGGCACGGCCAGCTCGATCCTTGCCTAGATCAGCGCTCCGGGAAAACTCGCTACTGCTTCCTCTTGGCAATTTGCAGGCTCCAGTGGGTGCACTCACTGGCGGCCGCTCGAGCTGGCCGCCGTCGTCTCCTCCGACTTGGGGTAGCCGAACTTCTCCGCGAAGATCTCGGTGCCATCCAGCATGGTCTGGGCGCTGTCTTCTAGCTTCTGGCGCCCCTTCAGCCTCTTCGCTCCCTCTGGGCCGACGTTGTCCTCGTTCTTCATCTCCCCGACGGCAGCCCTCATCACCCCGCGGGGGTCCTCTCCCTCGCCCTTCGCAGTTTTTAGCGCTAGATCGGACCAGCTCTACACAGTGGAGGCCCTCTTCCCTGACCTCTCCCAGTGGACCACTGGGCGCCTTGCGACGAGGTCGCAGCCTTCGATCTCGTGCGTCATCGGGAAGGACAGTGGGGGGCACATCGAATGGCTCCTCTGGGCTCATCTTCTTTGCCGCGTCGAAGAACTCGCAGTGGCGCTCCTTGGTGGCGTCGTCGAGTTGCTGCGGTCGCCTTTCCGCAATGAACGCTTGCCACGCGGGCCCCACTTTGATATCCACCGCCATCGACGGCCTGCTCTTGAACGGGAAGAACTTGCACCCGCGCCCGATCTGTGGCCAGTTTTCGCAGTCAGGTCCGAAGGTTTTCTGCGTCTCACCATTCCGCCAAGAGCACATCCTTTGGGTGGTTTTCCTGCGCCCTCGCCAGCTGCGACCGGTCCAACTTGCGCCAGAACTGCCACTTGTCGCTCCTCGAGCGGGGACTGGGACCTCTCCGCCACAGCTTGATCGGGAAGGCGAGCCCGCGCGAGCAAGCTCCCCCCCTCTTATCGCCCCATCCATCGCCCCTCCTGCATACGTTGAACAGCTGCACGTTGTCGCTCTACTTGTCCGCGAAGCACAGCGCCTTGAGATACTCTGGCTGCTGCTGGCGCTTTTCCTTCGCCGTCTTAGCGTCGCCCATCTCGCGCATCCCTCTCTCTTCCAGCTCTTGGTTTGCCGCCTTCAGCGCCTCCTCGTCATCTGCGCCCATGGCCATGCGCTTTCCGAGCAGGATGTCACGTTCTTCCGCGCAGCGAAGAGCCTCCGTCATTCCCGCCCCCGTCTCGCTGAAGGCTGTCAATATTCCTCGGTTCAATTTTAAACCATCCAGCGGCGCCTTTGCCATCTCCCTTGGCTCCATGGCGGTCGGGTTTCTTGCCGCGCAGGACTTGTTTTTTTTTTTCATTTGGGCCTCGTTTTTCTGCCAGCTGTACTGAGCAGCGTTGATCTGTCCGAGTGCCCAGGCTGCCCGCGCTGCTTCGTTCGCCTCCATCTCCTGATTTCGGAAGACCTGCTCTCTCGCAAGAGAAAGAGAGAGAGAGAGAGAGAGAGAGAGAGAGAGAGAGAGAGAGAGAGAGAGAGAGAGAGAGAGAGAGAGAGAGAGAGTGAGAGAGAGAGAGAACCATACAAAATAAAGAAATACAGACATAACAGGAAAGTGACCCCCCCCCCATGCGGCGCCCCTGCATCTTCGCCCCCCCCCCGCCCCCCCTCAACTCCAGCCCGCAATCGATGCGCGCTCTTTTCCATTCGCTGCCTTTGCCGCAGTGATCCTCTTCGTGACCTGGCTCGTTTCTCGCGCGCTCTCTGCGGCCGTCGATCATCTTGAAGCACTGGCGCCTCTTGCTGCAACGCCCGCAGGGCCATGGTCGGCTGCTGGTCGCGAAGGCCATGGCCCACGCGTGCGAAACACTCCGAGACGCCCCGCCAGCGCGCCACGCTGCTCGCCCAGGCCAGCGCTGAGCCAGATCAGCCGTGGCAGCCAGGGCTGAGCGATGGAGATAGCTGCGCAGTCTCAATAGCCCAACAGCCCCATTATACGCAAGATAAGTACATCTAATATGCTGGCCCCGTCTCCCCCCCCCCCCCCCCTGCTGAGATAACATTGAATCCCCAACTGCCCTGCGCCCTCGTAGTGCCTCGTACTCCGCGCCCATTTCCCTCCATTGACGGTGGCCCGTCTACATTGTGAGCATGCTGCACTGCATGCAAACTACCCCGCTCACCATCCCACCGTATCTACAACGGAAACGGGGAGGGGGAAACGCATCGCGTCGTCTTTGTAGATGGCGCCTCCTACTGGCTGGGTTGGGCAGGCTGGACGTTGCCAGGCAAGCCTTTCCCCAAGGCGTTTCTCTGTGATTCGGCTCCCTTTTCTGCTCGGAACTGCAAGGCAATTTCGTGCAGTCTACCATTTGGGGCAAAACGTCTGAGTTTGGTGAGGCGTTCAACGTCCATGCTGACCGTTTCTGCTATTCTTCCATCAACCGGAAGGTCCCTCTTCCTCCTCTGCGCGCTGTTGGGCACTCCAGCTATGCCCAATTGCCTTAGGTGGGGCTCTCCTGAAGCGGCCCCCTCACTGCATGATGCCGACGCCGACGTCGGTGCAGTGCACGCGCTTGTCCGCGCCAGCCGCGGCCTGGCACTCTGCCCCCGGGTCTTTGCACTCCGAGAAAAACATCGCTGATGCAACCGCCCCCTCGGATATCCGCGGCGCAGCGCTCCGAGAAAACCTTGCCAATGCCACCGCCCCCTCCGTTCTGAGCGGCGCCGACGCTCTAGCTCCCGCTCCACCCTCCTCTCCAACTCCGACCTGGGCGCCGCCGACTGGGACTTCTTGCCTCCCACGTAGACGATCAGCATCCCCATCGCCATCCTCGCGTCGTGGCCTGCGAACTGGCCCTGCTTCGCCAAGGCTTCTTCCCTCGCGCTGTTCGGGGGCGCCGCTCTGAAGTTAGGGGGCCCGTTGATGCCGATCTGGATCATGTCCGAATCCTCCCCCCAGAACTCCTCGTCCAGGTTCGGGTTATTGTTCTTTCTGTTGCGCGCTTTGTAGCTCTCGCTGACCTCGCACTTACCGGTCGCCTCTGCGACCATTGCCTGGCTGCGTTCGCTGTCGCCCCCCTTCAACTTCAAGAAATCGTTCAGTGCGCCCATGGCTCTGTCTAACCCTGGCAAGCAAACAGTAACCCCCCCAGCGATATCGCTAGCACAGAAAATAGAATAAATAATTATTTTGGGCGGCTCCCTCCGGCGATATCGTTAGCAAATAAAAAATAAAATAATTAATTAATTAATTCGCCCCCCGGGCCCGAAGCTGGCGGCAACGCGAGGCGACAGCCTGCAGAACCGACGCGCGCGAACGCTTGCCAATGCATTCCCGCCTTGCTAGAACACCGGGAAACTGACGCGCGTCGGAAATCAAAGGTAAATCAAAAAAGACAAACAATGAAATCACCGCAAGCAACTATACTTGAAAGGACCCCCCAAAGGAATCCCAGAGGAATCTCAGAAGGAAGCCCGCGCAGAATCTCAAAGGATCCCTATTGGAATTTCAAAGTAATCTCAAAGGAACCCCACAGAAATCGCAAAGGGATCTCAGCGGCAGCTCAAACGAACCACGAAGGAATCTAAGGAATCTGGAATACGCGGGCTCGCGTGGACATAAGCAAACCCTATTGCGGCCGCAATAGGGAAATTGTTTTTCACGGGGTCCTATGGGAGAGTCCACGGAGGGATATCGCAGACGGATTCCGCGACCCCCCCCCCGCGATATGTTAGCACATTTATTGCAAATAAAATAATCCACAGGCACCGGAGGTCGATGTGATGCCCCCTTCAGGGATTGTCGAAGGAATATCAGAGGAACTTGAAAGAACCCCCAAAGGAATCCCATAAGAATATCACAAGGAGACGCACGCATGATATCGAAGGAACCAATGGAAGTTAAAAGCAATCTCAAAGACACCCCACAGAAATGTCAAAGGCATCTCAGCGGCAGCTCAAACGAACCAAAGGAATCTAAGGAATTTGGAAAACGCGGGCTCGCGTGGACATAAGCAATCCCTATTGCGACCGCACTAGGGAAATTGATTCTTTCAGGGGATCCTATGGGGGAGTCCACGGAGAGATTTCGCAGACGCATTCCGCGACCCCCCCCGCGATATGTTAGCACATTTATTACAAATAAAATAATCCACCGGCCCCGGATGTCGATGTGATGCTCTCTTGAGCAATGGGGCATCAAAGGGATATGACCAGAGCCTCAAGGGACCCCCAGAATAACATCAAAGGAACACCAGAGGAGTCTCAAAGGAGTCCCAAAATAATCACATATTGATTCTTTCAGGGGATCCTATGGGAGAGTCCACGGAGAGATTTCGCAGACGCATTCCGCGAACCCCCCCGCGATATGTTAGCACATTTATTTAAAAATAATCCACCGGCCCCGGACGGGGCATCAGAGGGATATGACCGGAGCCTCAAGGGACCCTCAGAATAACATCAAAGGAACACCAGAGGAGTCTCAAAGGAGCCCCAAAATAATCACAATGGAAACGGCAAGGAATCTCAAAAGAAGCCAGTCGGAGTATCAGAGGAATCTCTGAGGAATCTCACAGAAACGCACAGAGTCACAGGAAGCGACTCTGGGCAGGTGTGCCTTGTCGCTGGGCTCTGGACTACAAGGGGACCGGGCATTCAGAGGCTTGTGGAGGCCTTTCTGCATGCCTCCTGGGAACCTCCGGGGACCTCCCCTCCGCGGACCTCTGGTGACCTGCGGGGGATATCGCTTCCGCCCCGGCCCCGGTGCCGGAAGCGTTATAATTTCCTCTGATGAAGGGGGGGGGGGAGAGGGGTTTACTGATTGCCTCCCAGGGTTATTGATGCTGGTGCTGTCGTCTCGTCTTCCTTCTGCCATTCCGACGCCATCCCCTGCGTGCCTTCCATGAGCGCTATTTCCGCGCGTTTTCCCGGCGGCCCCAACTTGCGCCCCTTGCCCTTCTCCCTGACCTGGCCCCCGTAGCTCTGCCCCGCTGCCGGCGACTTCCGAAGCGCTAAATTGCTGACTGGCACGAGGAAGAAATCCGATGTCATGGGGCTCATATCCCTGATCTCCGCCGCCGAGAGAAGGGCCAACGAACTCCTCGTAGTCCGCGTGAAACTAGCAGGGGCGGGGGGGGTCTGCGCCCTCCTCTCCCGCCTTCGCCGCCCCCCCCCCATCGCCGCGGCCGCCGTCGTTGGCGGGCTGCCCGCTGATTTGGCGCCGGCCCCTTCTGCGCGCCGCTGGGCATTTCCTTTTCCCTTGCCGCCCTTGCGGCGCTTCGGCTCGCCTTCCATCTCCGCGCTTGCTCCTCGTTTGGGCAGCGGCAGTCTCCACTGCGCCATCGCCATATTTCACGCAACGCGGCCCAGGATGGCGGCAGCGCGCATGCATTCGAAAGCCATCCAAGGATTGAGCCTGAAAGCCGCGGAAGACGCAGGTGATGGGGGGGGACTCGCGCACGGGGCGATTCCAGCGGCTTTTGTTTTTTGCAACATATCCCGCGGCTATCAATCGCCCCCATTACATGGTCCGTCGTATTTTTGGGACGCGAACGAGCTCATGCACCAAGGGCGCTGGTTCGTGATCACCTGGCTGGGGATCAGAAGGAAATGCTTGCGCACCCCTCTCCTGCACCCTGCCAGCGCCGCCGCCGCGGTAAATTGCGCCCCGCGCGCCTGCCCCTCTGTTCGCGTTTCCCAGTCGCGTGGGGCCCGTCCCAACCCAAGCCCCCCAATCCCTCGTGCCACTCTTGAACATTGAGATATCTAACTGACTCTGCGGGCACCGGCTCCATGCATCCTCGCTGGCGCCCGCCGACGCCTGTAAGTTCCTGGCCACCTGCGTGGCCCAAGGCGTAGAAGCTTCGCATATCCATCCATTCTCCATTCTCCTGACCTGGCAGAGGCTGCCCAACTTCGACGCGCCAAAAGCAGCTGTCAGCGCGCGGCCAAAATCTTTTGGATATTTCGCCCACTGTCTGCGCCACGGTAGCTTGCGCATCCCCGGGGCTGTCGAGCAGCGCGGTGCCCCCCATCTCCTGAACACCTCTATGTTGGCGTAGCACCTGGTCGCACCGTCCGCTTCCGCCCAGCTCATCCTGCCCCCTTGCCATCATTCTCAATAGAAATGCCATCGTCCTGTCGAGCACCCACGAGTAACGTTCTTCCAGCGCTAGCGCCGTCGACCCGCTGCGGCCCGCCCCCGCGACAAACGCCTGAAACATATATTTCTTGATTTTGTCAGTAGTACCTGATGACCAGAAAGACGCCCACACTGTCTGTGAGCCAGCTGCATGGCTTCGCACCCCCTCTTCATCTCTCCCGCGCATCGTTGATCTCCTGGTAGGCACGGCCCCAATGCTCTCATCTCCCTCATCGGCGTGCCCTTGATCTTCTTCTCTCTCTGCAGCTGCTTGTGGCCCCGTCTCGCCCTGGTCCTCGAAGAGCCACTGGGTGGTCGGTCTTGGCTGGATTCACTCTCAATCCACCCCTTTCCAGCTTGCTCTCTAAGCGCTGAATGGCGGCGTCGACCTGCTCCGCGATTCTTGTCGCGCGGGCACCTTGGCGATCCGAGATAACCTCGCCCCCGCCTAGAGCCGATTGGGGCTGGGGGCCTGGGCGGGCGAGCCGGGAGATCCTCGCTTTCGCCAGGCCCCGTCCGGCGTTCCAAGATTGCCTCGCTGACTCCGGTGACAGGAGGGATCGGGCCCGACGAGACCACCGCGTGGATCATGGTGATGTCGCCCATGAACGCGTTGAGCGAGAGGTCGTGCTCCTGCTCGTTGACGGGGCCCACTGTGCCATGCATTGTCTGCATCTCGCCCCGCTCTATCTTCCTGGCGCCACTGTCCCGCGCGTAGGCCGCATGCGTCGTCGAATCGTCTTGGGCGCGAGGTAAATCCCACGCGCACTCCTCTCGCAGTCCTCGCGCGCACCCAATTGTCCGCGCATTCCATGCGCATAGACGCGCGGCGCAGCGCCTCGGCCGCAAACGGCCGCCGACGTGGCGAAGACTGATGCCAGTAGGAGGTTGCGTTTCGTAGTTGCGAATGCGTTTGTGCAGTCGTAGTTGCTCGTGATAGTGCTCGCTCCTGCTTGCCTTGCCCCCCGCTGCATAGCTTCGACGCAGGTGGTCGCATTCTCCCTCGATCTGCCCCTGAGCCCCCGCCTGCGCTCAGCAGGGGTGCCCCGGTGTTTTTCCTCGGTAAATGAATACCTTTGTGGGGGGCCGCCCCCGTTGAACAGCGCGCACGCGTGGCCCTTCTTCCCGCCAGTCTCTTTTTTCTCATTGCCCTTCCCCGCTGAAAAAGGAAATGCACCGCGCCGGTCCAATGGTGTAGCTTGCGATCGGCGACGCTGGATAAGGATGTCCACCGGCTTTTTTTCCTGCACCCCATGCTTGCTTCTTGTTCCAACGCCGAAGATCCCTGCCCAGCTTTCTCGCATCCCCCCAGGTGGTGCGCTTTTCTTTTCTGTCGCCCTTAATGCCTCGCAGTCGCCCACTCTGTCTGCGCTGCCCAACGCCCTGCCCGATGTCCAACCATCTTCCGTAGCATAAAGCTTCCCACTCTGCACTTGTAAAGCGTGCTATACTTGTCCAAAACCTGCTCGCCATCTCGCTTCTCCGCCGCTCGTGCTCTTCGCTCCTCCAGCTTCCTGCTCAGCTGCTCAGGGCCCCCCCGGTTTGACCGCGAGTTCTTGGCATCATCCATGCAAGTTCTACCGGGGGGCCCGCGGAGGGGAAGCGCGCCTTCCTGCCGCTTTCTCGCGGTACTTCAGCACGTCTCTCTCGTCCCTCTCCACTTGGGCCTTCAACTCCATACCCAGTTGTAGCGGCATTGTTTATGTTATCATCTCTTCATGTTCCTTCTCGCATTCCTGCTGGCCCATCGGATCGGCTGCCAGCCCCCCCTTCGCGGGGGCGTTTGCCCAGCTCTGTGAGCCGCCCCTCTGTGCTCCGCTGGGTCCGCGCTGGGAAATAGCACCCCTGCTCAGGTCCTCTCCCATTCCTCTGAGATTCCACCCGGAGCCCGTGCATCTCGCCGAAGTTGTTGTTCTCGAATGATCTCCACAATTCCTCTGAAGGCATATGTTTTGCTTGCTTTTTCCACCTCGGTCCTACGTTTACGTCGTGCGTTTTGTATATGCGCCAGCTCCTTCTTGATCTCCCCCAATCTCTCCTGCGCGTCAGCATCTACCATGCCAACTCTTAATTGCACCCTTTCTGCCAGCAGGGAGTGCCGCAGCAATTGGAACGCGGCCACCCCCTTGTCTTCTTGCTTCTTCTTGATGGGGAATACCTCTTTCATAGCGCTCCTGCCCGCATCGCCCCACTTATTCCACCCCACGGCGCCCCTGCAGCTCTCTCTTTTTTCTTCTGCCACTAGTTCCACATGGGTTGCGCTCCGAGACGACCTCGCGAATGCTTCTCCCGGGTGGTCGACAGCCCCCACCCCCCCGGGTGCGCTCGAGAAAACCTCGCCAATTCATCGCCTGAGGGGGCAGCCTGGGTCGTCCCCCGAGAGAACCTCGCTAATGCTCCTCCTGGCTGCTGCGACTGGGCGACCTGCAGGTGGCGGTCAAACGCGCGCGGGAATTCCGCCCTCAGGCGACCTTTCCTCAGGCACTCCATCAGCATGTTGCGGCCCACTTCATTGCCTGCTCTTTGCTGCCTGTGCTTGCCCGAGAAATGAACTTGATGCTCCAGTCCGATATCCAAGCCGAAGAGAATGTGGTCTCTGTGCCCTCTCGCTCTGATCTGCTGCAGTTTCTTTGCCACTCCTCTCAACGTTGCGCAGCTTCGAACATGGGGTAGGGCGCCTGGCGGCCCTGCTATGTGGCCTGTTTTGCTAGTCGTCATCTTCTCGTTTTGTGCGCAGTAGTACATAGGCCCATAATCCATGAAAGTCGTGACCACCGACAGTAAGCTGTGAACGCAAAATTCCCTGAATGCTGCGCCACTGTCGCTCTCCACTTTCTCGGCCACTGGTCCCAATGTTGCTGCATGCTTGTTCGAACTGTGCCTACTGCCGTCTGACCTGTGCAATCCCAGCTGGCTGTTGATGTCCCATCCCGCAATCCGCCGACCCCAGAGGCGTGTGCGACCGACCCTGGCAACACATGAGCATTTCCCCCCACCAGCGATCAACGCCCTCCTCCTTGCACCCCTCTTCGCCCCGGCGCTCCCCGCCGCGCTCCGGCATTCTCACCCAGCATCCTCGCCCGGATCCTCACTTATCTTCACCCGCGATTTCACCCGCGATTTCACGCTCAAAATCGACCGATGCCCCCCTCCATGCTCCCCACCTGGCCACGGCGTCCACTGGCCTCTGGGCTCTGTTCTTGGGACCCCCGACCCGACGATTTCTCACCCAAAATCAACCGATTCCCCCCTCCATGCCCCCCACCTGGCCAAGGCATCCCCAAGCCTCTGGGCTCTGTTCTTGGGACCCCCGACCCTACGATTTGTCGCCCAACATCGACCCCCGACTCCGCGATTTCTTGTCCAAAATCGACCGATACCCCCCTCCATGCCCCCCCCCTCCCCGCTTCTCCTTCACCTGGCCACGGCGTCCCCAGGCCTCTGGGCTCTGTTCTTGGGACCCGCGACCCCGCGATTCCTCGCCCCAAATCGACCGATACCCCCCTCCATGCCCCCCACCTGGCCACGGCATCCCCAGGCCTCTGGGCTCTCCTCTTGGGACCCCCGACCCTACGATTTGTCGCCCAAAATCGACCGATACCCTCCTCCATGCCCCCCACCTGGCCACGGCATCCCCAGGGTCTGGGGTCTGTTCTTGGGACACCCGACCCACGATGTCTCGCCCAAAATCAACCGAAACTCCCCTCCATGCTTTTCCATGTGGCCACGGCATCCCCAGGGCTCTGGGCTCTGTTCTTGGGACCCTGGACCCCGCGATTTCTCGCCCCTAATCCGATGCCCCCCTCCATGCCCCCCCCCCCCTGGCCACCCTCCCAGGCCTCTGGGCTCTGTTCTTGGGACCCCCGACCCCGCGATTTCTCGCCCAGACTCGACCGATGCCCCCCTCCATGCCCCCCACCTGGCTACGGCATCCCGAGGCCTCTGGGCTCTGTTCTCGGGACCCGCGACCCTGCGATTTCTTGCCCAAAATCATCCGACACCCTCCTCCATGCCCCCCCCCCCCCCCTACACCTGGCCACGGCCCTCTTGTTCTTGAGGCCCACGACCCCGCGATTTCTCGCCCAAAATCAACCGATACCCCCCTCCATGCCCCCCACCTGGCCACGGCATCTCCAGAGCTCTGGGCTCTTGTCCTTGAGGCCCCCAACCAGACGATTTCTCACCCAAAATCGACCGATACCCCCCTCCACGCCCCCCACCTGGCCACGGCATCCCCAAGCCTCTGGGCTGTTTTCTTGGGACCCCCGACCCTACGATTTCCCCCCCAAACTCCACCGATGCCCTGCTCCATGCCCCCCACCTGGCCACGGCATCCCCAGGCCTCTGGGCTCTGTTCTTGAAACCCCCGACCCCACGATTTCTCGCCCAAAATCAAAGGTTTCCCCCCTCCATGCCCCCCACCTGGCAACGGCATCCCCAGGCCTCTGGGCTCTGTTCTCGAGGCCCCCGACCTCACGATTTCTCGCCTAAAATCGACCGATACCCCCCTCCATGCCCCCCACCTGTCCACGGCATCCACTGGCCTCCGGGCTCTGTTCTTGGGACCCCCGCACCCGCGATTTCTCCCCCCAAATCGACCGATGCTCCGCTCCATGCCCCCCACCTGGCCACGGCATCCCCAAGCACCTGGGCTCTGTTCTTGGGCTCACGACCCCACGATTTCTCTGCCAAAATCGACCGATACCCCCCTCCATGCTCCCCACCTGGCCACGGCATCCCCAGCCCTATGGGCCCTGTTCTTGGGACACCCGACCCCGCGATTTCTCCCCCCAAATCAACCGATACACCCCAGGCCTCTGGGCTCTGTTCTTGGGCCCACGACCCCGCGATTTCTCGCTCAGACTCGACCGATACCCCCCTCCGTGAACTCCACCTGGCCACGGCATCCCCAGGCCTCTGGGCTCTGTTCTCGGGACCCGCGACCCCGCGATTCCTCGCCCAAAATCAACCGATACCCTCCTCCATGTCCCCCCCCCCCCCCACCCACACCTGGCCACGGCACCCCCGGGCCTCTTGTCCTTGAGGCCCCCGACCCTACGATGTCTCGCCGAAAATCGACCGATGCCCCCCTCCATGCCCCCCCCTTCCTGGCCACGGCATCCCCAGAGCTCTGGGCTCTGTTCTTGGGACTCCCGAGCATGCGATTTCTCACCCAAAATCGACCGACACCCCCCTCCATGCCTCCCACCTGGCCACGGCATCCCCAGGCCTCTGGGCTCTGTTCTTGGGGCCCCCGACCCCGCGATGCCTCGCCCAAAATCGACCAATACCCCCTCCATGCCCCCCACTTGGCCACGGCATCCCGAAGCGTCTGGGCCCTGTTCTTGGGACCCCCGACCCCGCGATTTCGCAACCAAAATCGACCGATACTCCCCTCCATGTTCCCCCGCTTCTCCTTCACCTGGCCAAGGCGTCCCCAAGCCTCTGGGCTCTGTTCTTGGGACCCGCGGCCCCGCGATTCCTCGCCCAAAATCGACCGATACCCCCCTCCATGCCCCCCACTTGGCCACGGCGTCCCCACGCCTCTGGGCTCTGTTCTCGGGACCCCCGACCATGCGATTCCTCGCCCAAAATCGACCGATACCTCCTCCATGCCCCCCACCTGCCACGGCATCCCCAGGCCTCTGGGCTGTTCTTGGAAGCCCCGGACCCGACGATGTCTCGCCCTAAATCGACCGATACCCCCTCCATGCCCCCACTGGCCACAGCATCCCAAGCCTCTGGGCTCTGTTCTCGGGACCCGCGACCCTACGATTTCTCGCACCAAATCGACCGAGACCCCCCTGCATGCCCCCCACC